CACGAGGTGAACTACTTACAACCATTTTATTGATTGAGATTTGGATCTTGGTCTTCTTGATCTGAAATTGTTATTAAAATAGTGAATTATACTAGCTTAATAAGAATATCACATTAATCACTCATACAGAAAACCAAATATTGGTAAAAATAATAAAAAAACTAATTGAGCATTTGATTTAAGTAAATACATTTAACTTTAAAACGTTTTATTCCATACTTACTGTTACAAGTTTTCCTAAAATTCAACATATGAAGACAAATAACCAGGTAACGTTTTATTTTTGTGCATAATTCTTCCTTTTAACCTATTTATTAGGATCCCTGAGAATGCATAGAGATATTTCTCTACTTGTGGACCTAGTATCAAGATTTGACAATTAACCCGGTCGTTCTCATACCCCATCCGATAATGGGCACCAAAAATATTATTGTTTCGATACCCCGTCCAATATGATAGTAAACCATATCTCCCAACCTTTCTGGTATGGGGCTTCTCAGTCCCGTTCGACTGAGATAATATAAAAGGTAAGATTTTTTATATACCGGGTCCGTCTATCATTTTTCATGATGCCCAATAAGCTTTAATTTATTTAGATTCTCATCATCCAAATAACCACTAAAGCATACCAACATCTCATTTCATATTCATCAATTAATTTAAACGGTATTTAAGCAAGCAATATAATTTAACATAACCGAATAACCAAGTAACCAAACAATCAAATAAACAATGTAGGAGGAACCAAATAAATTAAATAATCGAGAAGATTATAAAAATTATCACTTTAAATACGCATAATATAATAGTAAGTAATTTAGGCAGTACAGAAAAATAAATAGGAAATCAGGATAAATATGAACTAATCGGTTCCGCCTCCACTAATGACTTGTAATTATTTTTAGAATTTTTCTAATTTTTTACAAAATACATAATTATTCATTATTAATTCTCAATTTACCGTAACAGATAAAAGAGTGAGAGATCTTTACCTAGAATCGATGTTAAAAATTATTTTCAGCCAATTTCGGGGTTTCGACACGGCGGTGTCGCCGTGCTCCGGTGACGACCCCACCGCCCGCGGTGGTGGTTTGCCGCAGCCTGACCATTTTCGGTCGATTTTGGTCAATTTCGACCACCTTTATACATATCCATGTGAAAAAATACGTTAGGGGGTCTCGGTTGGCCCAAAAAATCAGAAAACGAATATACCGGTAGTGGAGTTTTCTGGGTATGGCAGCTCAGCCAACTCACCTTCACAACTGAAATTTTTTATTTGGTCAACCTGTAAAAAATAGAACAGTAAACACAACGGTGGAAAAATCACACAAAATGGAAAACAAGAAGGGGTTCATCGGAGGAGGTTATGAGTTTTGCCTGTAGCGACGCCGCCAGGCTTTTTTTGTAGTTCCTGGCTCACCTGCCTTTCGTTTTGCTCTGATATGGCCACATGAGTGCTCAAAATTGAATTACGAACAGGTAGTAGAATTTTTACTTTTTTTGGCGATCGGAGGTGGCTTCGGTGCAGCGATAGTCGGCGGTCGGCTCCTTTCTCTAGCGACTGGTTCTTCTTCTCTGGCGGGGGGTTGGCGGCTAAGGTTCGGATTTAGTGTGATATGAAATATTTATACTCACCTCGCGTTAATTTGGGTTGTTTATCGCATTTGATATCGACTGTTCGATCACGCTTAAGTAAGAAATGAATCTGCACCATTCATCGCGTTTGATCTCGACCGTCCGATCATGTTTAAAGGGGGAACAAATCCAGGCCGTCCACGCGCGTAGGATCGATTGTAGCAGCCCCGGAAATTTAAAATGGACTTTATATTATAAATATCAAATGCAGAAGCGAAGTCAAAATTTGAATAACATCCCTTACACTAAAACCAAAAACGTGCTCACAAAATATAAAAGATTAAACTACCTAAAGGAGAAACTTGAAAGTAAAAACTACGAATGTGACTATGGAGTCTTTAGGCGTCCCTTTCGTCGTCCTCCTGCGGAACCGGCTCGGGAACGATGTCCTCTTGATCTGAAATGATTAAATAAGGAATGAGCTATACTAGCCCAGTAAGGACATCACGATATCTCACCGTCACGGAGGTAAAGGTGGGTAGAAAACACAAAAAGACCAATGGAGCATAATTTACAACAAATCCTTTTATTAATAATAAAACCTTTACCATTCACTTACCTCGGTGAAATTCATAAAACAATATACGAAAGCAATAACATCATCATCATCATGAAAACATATATATGAACTGTATAACATAGTACCTATCAAACTTTTCGTAATTCAATCGTTACACAACATATTTTCCTAATTCACCAGCCCACTAGTATCCATGGGGATCTATAGGGGTCCCGCTACCCGTTAATCCTTAACACTTGAAATCCATTCCAGGGCCGTCCCCATATCCCGTCCGGTATGGGCGCCAAACCATAGACCTCATTACCCCCTCCAGTATGAGGGTGAAACGGGCCGTTCCCATACCCCGTCCAGTATGGGCGCCAAAACACATAAGATCTCCATACCCCGTCCGGTATGGGAGACCACAATCCCGGTAGGGTTCCCTACGGACCCGGTCCGTCCACTATCTCCCAGGATATCTAGTCATGCTGAACACATTATACAATTTCCATTTACATAATTTTCATTCTCCTTTTCCCTCAGTCAGCATTATCAATCACATACAAACAAGCAAAACGATAATTTATGCCAAACAGACAACATACAGCATTAATATCCTGGTCATTCAATCCATAATCAATAAAACAGTAAAATATGCACACGAAACTATAAAATGAAAACATCGAAGCTCATGCTGCATTTAAAACTGTAAACATGCCAAATAACAGTTAACCGACAAACACACTAGACTCGGGCTCCATTAGCGACCTTAAGCAATTTCACACATTCGTTGATTCATGAAATACCGTTTTATTATTTATTGAACTTTAAAACCGTGATAGGAAATAGGGTGAGGGGTCCTTACTCGTTTCGGAGTCCGAACACGGCTTCACAGTGCGCCTACAGGCTGTCCCAAATTTTTCCTGAATTTTTCTCGGGGAACTGAAACGCACTACTGGTACCTGCACGTGTTCCAAAAAATCCCAAATTAGGCCCAGGGCCCCTTTCGGCCAATATCGCAACTCCGGCACGGTGGCGGTTTGCCTCGGGTTGGCCGTTTTCGGCCGTTTCAGGCCGAATTCGGCCACACTCGCATTGGTTCCTGCGATAAAACAACCCTACGGCCCTCGGGGGGCCGAAAATTTACGGAAAACCGAAGCTTACCGGCGGCGGTGCTCTCGGGTGCGGCGGCTCTCCGGTGAAGTTCGTGTTTTGGTGATTCGGCTCCGATCAACCTGTAGAGAAAAGAATGGTGATCACGGTGATATAAAAATTGCATTAAACGGAGGCCGGGAAGGGCCTCATCGGAGGCAAAAACCGAGAAGGGGCGCGGCGGCGCCGCTGGCTTTCGGCCGTGTTTTTCCGGCCGTTTGGCCGGAATTTTGGCTCCGATTTGGCCACTGGAGAAATCAGCGTGGTAAAACGAGTTGGGGGTATGAAATTTACCTCGATTGGCGGTCGGAAATCCCTCCGGTGCGGCGGCGAGTGGCGGCGGCCGGCTTCTGGTTCGTCTTCTCCGGCGAGGGCAGGCGGCTAGGGTTTGGGTTCTGGTTTGGGGGTCTTATTTATACCCTTTTGCCTTTTGATCTCAGCCGTCCATTTTGATTTAATCTGGGTCGTCCGTTTTTGATTAAATCTGGGCCGTCTGTGCAATTAAATCTGGGCCGTCCGTGCGCGCGATTGATCTGGGCCGTCAGATCGCGCGCACGCGGATCGCCAACGTGGCCCGTCCCCGGTCGACGTGGTTTTGCCACGTGGCAGGTCCTGGTTGGCCAGGCCTGCTGACTGGGTCTGCTGACGTGGCTGCTGACGTGGCACACACGTTTTTTTTTTTCTTCAATTTCTTCAATTTCCCCGGGCACTACATCGATCATGGACCATTTGATCGCTGAGCATGCAGATAGCCTGCGTGGCATCTCGCATGACACCGATGTCAGTGTGCCTTGCCACGCGGCATGCTCTGGTTCGTCAGCGTTGTTGACTTGGCGGTACTACGTGGCAAAGTTTGTCTTATTTACACTATGACCTTCAGTTTCTAATTTTTTTTTCAAAAACACTCACGAACCCAAATTTTCACCAATTTTTTCTAAAATTGTTTTCAATTTCATCCATAACTTATTTATTTATTTTTTCATAAATTCAACAAAAATTAAAATAAATTAATTTTAAAATATTTTTTTTATATATTTTAAATATTAAAATTAATTTCAGATTAAATTCTAAATTCGAATATTACAACCTTGGCAACCAATAAAACTCTTGATAATATAAAATGGATCGTTACGAGACCATCAACAAAATAAAACTATTTATCTATTAATAATTATAACAACCAATTTATAAATAGTAATTATGAAGGCCCTCAATTATTTATAGTTCTATAAAAATAAAACTATTTTTTTATTATATTTATTCATTGGTTTTATGACTTTTTTTAAAACTTTTATAATATATAATTATGAATGAAAATACATGTATCTCGATATTTTATATAGAAAATTAATGACATGACAATATTAATATCCTCAGTATAAAAGTCTATATAAATGTTATTGTATCTATAATTGATCCGTAGTACCAATTAGTTAAAATTATAAGAGATTAATTTATTGTATATATTATTTTATTTTTGTAATAAATCAATTGTCTTTTAAATATAATTAACCCTTAAAGAATCGAGATAAAAGATAATAATACACACTAATTATATTTAAATTGTCATTTTATTTGCTGTCAATATTTTGCAGCGGTTACTAATAGAAAAAGAAAAACTAACAATTATTGTAATTAAGATAAAATCAAAGGATATTTATGTAATTTAATACCTGCAAATGCAAATATAGATCTTCCCCTTCCACAAGCAGGATCCGATAATCACAGCTTCTCACGCCTTATTCGAAGAATCTAAACCCTAATCCCTCTCCGTACTTTGTTGCTACAGTGTACTTAGGAGGAGGCTCGAGTTAAAGTTCAGTCTCGCTACTCTCCCTTCCTCTCGGCTTCTGTCTCTTATCTTCTCTTTATATGTATTGAGTTCATATGCTGTAGATTGGTTGTGAAGAGGGATCGGTATGGCAGCGGAGAATTCAGGTCCGAAATCGAGCTCAACGGCGGATTCGTACATAGGGAGCTTGATAAGCTTGACATCGAAGAGTGAGATCAGATACGAGGGTGTTCTTTACAACATCAACACCGAGGAGTCCAGTATTGGATTGAGAAATGGTGCGCTTTATTCGCTTTGTTTTCTTGGGAAGGTGAGGTCGAGGGGTTTGCCTCGTTTACTTGAATTTCAATTTTCTTGTTTGATTCCTTATGTGCAAATTGATTATGTTAGTTGATTTTATGATATCGGTTTGTCATTTTCCTCCTAAACTCCTTAAAACCATTTCCCCCAGAACGTTGTCTATATTTCTTATGCTTTTTGTACATTAAGAGCTAGACAAAGAGAAATAGAACAACGTAAGTTCGTTGGATATTTAGTTGAACGGAGATGAAGAGAAGAAATTGCAAATATATCCAATTGAGCTGTAAATATTAAAGCCAATGTTTTAAGACAACCAGTAGATAAATGGGTTTTAGTTCCTTTCTTGTCTCTGGTGTAGACTCTACCAATTCTCTGTTACTTTAAATCAGTAAGTGCACGTTAAAGAAAGAAAAAGATCCCATAATTGGCTATTTTGGACTTTGAGCTTACCTTTGTAATTATATTTAGCTTTTAGTCCATGATACTTAAATTATTTAAGAGATTATTGGAGTCACGTAACCTTATGGCAGTGAAAGCATGTGAATGTTTTTGTTATCGGCAATTTTATCATTCTTTGTGTGTTATTCTTAACGGTAGACATAAATATTGAAAGGGATAATTTTACATAAATATTCTATAAGTTGATTTTGTCTTTTATGTGGCAGTACGATCTTTTGGAACCGAAGGAAGGAAAAAGGATGGTCCACAAGTTCCCCCTAGTGACAAAGTTTATGAGTACATTTTGTTCAGAGGAAGTGATATCAAGGTATCATGTTCAGGGAAGCACTTGGTTTTACTTTAGAAATTCCTTCCTCATGACAATGTTCCAAGTGATGAGATTTTTGGACTTATTAATATTTCTTTCAAGAAAATACCACTTCAAATATGCTCGGGACATTCTAATGGACCAGTGTGCAAGCTTCCTTAATTAACTATTTACGAAATAGGATTTCAATTTCTTTTTTCTGTATTTTCAACTATAAGATTAGTCGAGAGTCACTTGTTTGATTATCTTTCTTCTCTACTGTGTTTTACTGTAAATTATTTCCTTAGTTGGACAATGATCGAGTTACTATGTTCTTACTTCTTTATTTCTTAATAGACTGTGAGCTGTTATACAGTAAAGGTAAATGGCTGTCTAGAACATAAAATAATACCCTCATTCATATAAAAATTTTAGGTACTCAGTCGACTTTGTCCAGGTTCTTCCTTTTCTTGTTTATTTTCATCAGAATTGTTAGTAACATTGAAATATTTTTTGTGCTTTTTACAGGATTTGCAGGTTAAATCTTCTCCACCTGTTCAGTCTACACCACCTATAACCAATGACCCAGCTATTATACAGGTGAAGGGAGGAAGGCTATTTTAGTTTATTTGATGCATCATATATGTTAACCTCGTTCTAAATTTGTCTTGAGCTTTTTGCAGTCTCACTATCCTCGCACGGTTTCCACATCTAGCAGCTTGCCTTCTGCTGTTAGTGGGTCTTTGACTGATCTTAGTTCCCATAATGCACAAGTGGGGCTACCTGGTTCAAATTTTCAAGGTGGCCTGCCACTATATCAACCTGGAGGGAGTTTAGGGTCATGGGGAGCTTCACCTCCTCCCCCAAATGCAAATGGTAGTGGGCTTGCTATGCCTATGTATTGGCAAGGATACTATGGCCATCCCCCCCAAAATGGGCTTCCGCCTTTGCACCAACAATCTTTGCTTCGACCCCCACCTGGGCTATCCATGCCTCCTTCTATGCAGCAACCTATGCAGTATTCTAGTTTCAATGCTCCTTTACCCACTGGGTCCTCAAATATTCAAGGTTCAAACTTGCCTGAAGCACCATCTCCTTTACTTCCTACTGGTGCTAGTTCTCATAGTTTAACTCCAAGTTCCTTACTGCCATCCACTTCATCATCAATTTTGTCGTCCTCTCTGCCTCCAGTACCCTCTGCAACACTAGCCTTGGAGACATTGCCTAGTTCATTGCCTAATAGAGCTCCTAATGCTGCCCTTCCTGTTGCGACGCCAAACACTAGCTTGCCATCACTCTCTCCTCTGATTACCTCCAGTTCGGCAATCAATGCTATTGTACCACCAGTCTCCAAGCCAAATACAGTTTCCAGTCAAAACTTGCTGTATCAGAATGCTCCTCAACCAACATCCTCCATTGTTGGAACATCTAGTTCTATGCACATGGAAACACCAATCCCTTCATTGATTACCCCAGGTCAGCTGTTACAGTCTGGATCTACAGCAGTCCCATCATCTCAACCTGCACAAACTGCTCAAAAAGATGTGGAGGTGGTGCAAGTATCATCATCATCCACAACATCAGAACAACCTGCTCCAGTTAGTGCAGAAGCTCAGCCACCTATATTGCCGTTACCCATACCTTCACGGGCAGGCCAAAAGGTTATAAAACTCTTTACATATTTAGTTATTTATTTGATTACTTATTCTTTGTCTGTCTTTTTATAGTTCATACTGTTTGCAGGATTTAGTTCTATGCCTTTCTGTTGGGAGGAATGGAGTTATTTACCATTTAGCATGAGGGGATATTTCTGTCTAAGCCCAGCTGACGACATTAACCAGTTATTCTATGAAATAGGCTTCTTTTGGGCTTAATATTCTTTTGTGTTAGTTAGCCAAAATGTTTGATAGTATGTGATTGTGGTAAAATGAGGCAGGATACTGGAGCTCTGGAGGTAAAGAGGGGATAAGGTACACAGGGATTTAGTTCTATGCCTTTCTGTTGGGAGGAATGGAGTTATTTACCATTTAGCATGAGGGGATATTTCTGTCTAAGCCCAGCTGACGACATTAACCAGTTATTCTATGAAATAGGCTTCTTTTGGGCTTAATATTCTTTTGTGTTAGTTAGCCAAAATGTTTGATAGTATGTGATTGTGGTAAAATGAGGCAGGATACTGGAGCTCTGGAGGTAAAGAGGGGATAAGGTACATAGGAAGTGAATAAATAAATTATGGAAGTTCTTTTAAGTTGTTGAAGGTGTTGTATGAATGATCTCTGGTGTCTATTTATAATACTATGTTTGCCCTGTATTGTTGTTTTCCCCATATTCTGTTTGTTCCCTAACAAAACAACAGAATATATTATGGCCTATACATTTTAGGATGTCTTTGCAATAGCTGGTGCTGTTCTGCTTTCCAACATTTCTCTTATTTTCTTCCTCAGAGATGGCAAATGTGGTTTTATTATGTTTCTTTTCAAACAAGATGCTATGAACACTAACTTGTGCTCTTATATATGTTTCTTTCCAAATATACGAGATGCTATGAACACTAACTTGTGCTCTTATATTTTCATAGCCAAATGGAGCTCCTTTCCAAACTCGTCATGGGTACAGGGGACGTGAAAGAGGACGAGGAGCTGGGGTAATTTCTTAACTCGCTCTTGCATTCCAATATATATCAAATATGGGTCCCAGGCTATAAGAATAAGGTGAACCTGAATTTTTATGTTACAAACTAAGGATTTCAGTATGCAGGTGAAATTTTCTATTCTTTGCCAGTTTTACACTTCAAAAAAAATTTGAGGGAAGTGGTACTGACTGAAATTGGTGATTTTCTGTCAAGATGGTTGGTTACTATTTGTTTTAAGCCTAATTAGAACATAATTTGTTACTTTTAGTTTACCACCACCGCCACATTGAATCTCTTGATGATGGTGAGAATTCAACCCCCAATTTGGAAGGGCAGGATTGTATTCACACCATCAAGGCATTCAAGTGGGGTGGTAGTAAGTTAAAACAGAATAGCAACATTCTAATTTAAAAATAAGAACGAAATGATATTAAAATTAGGAATTGGATGGGCATACTAAAGGCGACCTTAGTGATATTATATTTGTATGTTGAAGCTTTAGATTTAGCAGCTGGCTTGTTGTTGGGAAATATTTGATTTTGCAATTAAATAATCTGGAGCTAGCAATAGGTTATATGTTTTGACTGATTGAACTGCTCTCTGATAGATTGGTTGATATGATGAATGATCATAAACTGACAGCCTTCTTTTCTGATGTTTCGGTGCAGAGTTCGCGGCCCGTAACAAAGTTCACTGAAGAGTTTGATTTTATGGCAATGAATGAGAAATTCAAAAAAGACGAAGTATGGGGTCATCTTGGTAAGAATAACAAGTCTCATTCAAAAGACAAAGAAGGGGATGGAGGAGACAGTGATGAAGGTTCTGAAGAGGAAGATGATGCTGAGTTATCTAGAGTTGAGATCAAGGTACTTGAACTTGATTTCTAGAAATGTAACTTGTGGCTTTTCTGGAACTCATTATCTTTATCTTTCATTATATGCTGCAGCCTCTTTATAATAAGGATGACTTTTTTGATTCTCTCTCCTCTAACGCACTTGATCATGATTCACAAAATGGAAGAACTAGATTCTCCGAGCAAATGAAATTAGATACCGAGGTAGTTTCTTTTCATTTCTGGTTTCCTTCATCTTGTATTTTGTGGCTGCTACTTAAATTCTCTCCATAATGCTATTTCCGTTTGATAGTCATTATTTGATTGACCTCTTGAAGAAAATTTTCAAATACTGTGATTGTGATGGTACAGACTTTTGGTGACTTTCCAAGATATCGTGGGGGTCGAGGTGGCCGTGGGCCTATGCGCGGAGGTCGTTCTCGTGGTGGTTATTATGGAAGGAGCCATGGTTATGGCTATGGCTATGGCTATGGCTATGGCTATGGCTATGGCTATGCAAGGGGCCGCGGCCGAGACATGTCGGGACGGTCTTCGTAAGTGGGTATTGGTATTTTAAAATGTGACCATGGGTAAACTGAAAACCAAGGTCACTAGAAAGTAGTTGATCCAGCATGGTCCTAATGTTTGTGGTTTCTTTTCTTGTCCAGAAAATAAACCATAGAATAAGTTTAGTTTCATGTCATGTTGTTTTTAACTTTCTCTCTTTTTTTTTTTTTGTGACCGTTAGACAGTCATTTTATGAAAGTGAAGAAGGATCTTGTTTCAAACTATAAGAAATGCTTGTTTATCAATCATTGAGTTGAACTCTGACTTGAATATTTATGGGCATTCAGTTATTTTCCCTTGGGCGCAATTTGTTTAAGTAGAATTACAACAGAAATTTAACTTCTCTAGAATTTTCAATTTAATCATATTATGGACGGCCCTACCAGAGGATGAAGCCTAATGTAATTAGGATGTTGAAATTTTGCAGATTTAAAGTGAATGATTGAAAATATTGGGAGGTAACAGTTGCAAAAGTAGGTAGATTAAAGTGAATTATGCTCAAGGAGAAGCTTTCTCTGTGCTGGTAGATATATTAAGAAGCTTATATCATTGATGTTTGGATATCTTTTGATATATTGAAAGAAAAACGGTGATTTATTATTAAGTGACCCAAAGGGGAATAGGATAAAACGTGGGAATAGGATAAATATTGTGAATGCACGAGTGATTCAGCAATGGTGGGTAGTGACTATTTGCAAGTGGCAACTAGCACTCTTCGGGGAGGCAATGAAGGTCTTCTGCCATGGAGCAGAGCCAGGTTGTCAAAGAAAAGAACATCACCCCTGGCCCATTTGAATTGAATGCTTTCCTCTTCAATAATCTCTCCACATCTCTTTACGAACTCAGCCGGTATCTCTGTGCCATCTGCCATTAATGCCGAGCTGTGTTCTTTGCCATGCATGCCAACCATCGTGTTGAACCACATTCTTCTCCCTTTTCTTCCATCAAACACCTTCGTTAGCCTCCTCGGCCCCAGAATTGTCTTCACCCCTCCGTTTGGTAGCCACTCCATCTCCATTCCCAGAGCCTTGGCCCTGCACCCAGTTATTACCATCACTACCTTGCTATATATTTCTAAGCATTATTGTGTAATCTGCATATATGTACATGTACCTTCTTTCAGCCTCAGCACGATCAGATGTTTCAAATGCATCCTCCCAACCCCTACCCCTCATGGATGAAGTGTCATTCTTGCTGAGAGTGGTGAACGTATATTTCAACCCCTTCTTCTCAATTTCCTCCACCACTTCTGGGAACTCCTCCAACATTCTCTCTGTTACTCTAAAACTTGGAACAAACGGAGTCTCCCCTCCTTCTGGTGGCGGTATCTCACAGAATAACATCAGTCTTTTGGGATACTCCTTTATCTGATTTTTCACAACGCATTTTAATTAATTTCCTTCTTTAACTACTTTACTTATTAACCCAACTCAGAATACATAAAAATATGTTGTCAAAATCTTGTTACTAATCACTTACAAGAACCATCTCATGGTGGTAGTATATGAACTCGGAGAGAGGTCCCTCGTTGGCTGTCCACACACGTTTGTAGATGTGCGTTCGCGGCGCTGGTCCAACATATCTTATATTCTCCCAGCCGAAGGCCTCGACAATGTCGTTGAATTCTTCAGCAGTGTTGACATTGAAGCCTCGGAGCAGGACGGCACTATGCTTGATGATCATCTCATCGAACCACTCCTTGTTGGTCTTGAAGGTCAGGAGGAGCGAATCTACGCTGCTTTTACCGGGTTCTGAGGGCTGCAGCAGTAAGGGCATGATTTCGCCGTCCACCACCTTCTGGCCTTCACAAGCTCCAACCTTGAAATCCTTGCAAGAGAAGGCCATTTTTTTTATGGCTTGCCTTTCTTAGTTGCTGTATTATAAGTATGATATTATTTTATGTCTAAGACGAAATATATGTGCGTATATATAGTGGGAAGGAGTCAATTAATTAATGCTTATGTTTGTTTCTATCGCCATTTAAATTAATGTAATTGAATCAATGGTTGCCAATTGAGTACTTAAATTAAAGATTCTTTCTTTTCTCTTGTGTCGCTTGCGAAGGAGTTGAATACCAAGTGTTATAGAATCGCTCTCAAATATGCATATTTAACTGGAGGATATACATATAACTCATTTATTTGTTGATAAATTTAAGTATATGTATATAACAATTTACAACATCAATATTAACGTTATATTCCCTAGTGAATCGTGATTATCCACTAAGTATGGCTTTGTTTGGCATGGAAATTAACACCATGGTACATGCAAGGTAGAAAATCTAGCTCACTAAAACCAGGTTACTTGCATATAATTTCAGAAACTTACGGCTCCTGCAATTATTTTTTATTTCTTATGATTAACCAAAGGATGTATATACTCCTATGCATTATATATATATATATATATGAAAAGGTCTTGTTGTATTGTTTTTGGTTGCCGAGTACCTTTCAAATCCCCATTGTTTACATCTTACTTTAACGTTTAAATCTAATTTTATATTTGGTTCATTTTAGTTAAATTATGACCCATACACTTTCAGTTCTTATATTAAACTAATATACTTAATTAGAACATAATTTAGAGACTTATAACACCTTGAATTCTTTAATAATAAAACTTTAACCTTAAATTTTCACATGAAAAAATATTTAATTTACATGATATAATTTTTTGAAAATTAATTAATGAGATAATTTAATTGAAGAAACCTCAAACTGAAAATTCAAAGGTCGTGTGTTCAAATTACATTCAACATAACATCCTAATTTTTTTTTTTCTCTAAAATAATTTTGTATTTAATATAAAAATATATACGACAATTATCCACTTATCTTTACAGTACACAGTTTTAAATATATCAAATTAAATTAATATGATAATATTTTTATCAATTATCTATTTATATGTAATAATTTAATATAATAATATATAATATTTATGTATTTAAATATTTTAAACATAAAATGAGAATGGAAATACAATCTGTGATTCATTTTTAGTTGGAATTATACATTATATAAATTCTTAATATTATATATATATATATTTCATATCTCATTCATTTTGCAACTCTTTCATAAAATTACATATTTTAAATAATTTTTTTAATATTTTTATATGATTTTATTCACATTTGATAATACTTATATTATAATTTTTATATAACAATAAAATTGTTTTTGCGCATAGTACATTATGAGAATCTTGTTAATATAAAAATTAAATTAAGAATAATAAAAAATGCAACCTTGATCACGAGCCCAAAATCTAGGCTTACCCAAATTCAGAGAACAACTAAATGGGCCATTACCGTAAAAATTTGCAGCTAGCATATTATATTTAACTCTATGTATATGCACGAAATAATTTTAATATTTAATTTTAAAAAAATTTGAAATATTTATACTTGATTTAAGAAATTGAAATAATTAAAATGATAATTAGAAAAAAAAATTGAAAACTAAATCAGGGAATCTTTATTTTTTTATTTATTTGAAAATAAAAATTAATATTTAATCATATTAAATGGTTGTTTATATAATTGGAGTAATAATATTATATTATGATTTTCATATTTAATCATAATTTGACTAAACAAGAGGAGAACGACCGTACGTCATAAACTATTCTTGATACATTAAAGTATTATTATTAGGGATATAATCAAATATTTAAAAGTAAATATAAAATATCATGTGATGTTGCAAACATTTTTTTGTTGTTATGTCCGTTGACGAAGCCGTAGATCCATTCAGCAAAAATAATCAAACCGTTGATCCAACGGTTAAAAATAGTGAGCTTACGTGCGTTAAGCTCATTGCCTTTTTATACTCCATAATTATAATTAAACGTTAAACTTAAGGTTTATAAAATACAGGATTATTTTAAGTATATAATCCAAATAATTAATTATTGGAAAAAGATTAGTTTTAATTAATCAGGTTGCTCAACTTGAGTGAGTGTTACAGTAGCTACACTGCTGTAGATCTAAAAGGCAAATCTCCTCTGTCGGTCGTCTCCCTCCTCAAAAACCAAAATGGCTACACTCTTTCCACTTCTCTTGTTTGCCAGAATTTCAGGACTCATAGTTGCAGCTCTGGTGCTTTCATGGGCTCTTGCTTTCAAGTCCAGTTTCATCCCCCATTCTTCTTCACAAGAACAGTTAGTTTACGCGGTAATTACTAGCTACTCCTACTCTCTCATATTTCTCCACAACACCAGTTTCATTTGCATCTGAAAATGGCGGGTTGGATTTTGTTAACAGGTTCTTCATCCTTTGTTAATGGTGATCGGTTTGATAGTCGTAAGCGGAGAAGGTAAGCAAGTAATGTAGGGGTTTATTTTTGTTGAAGATGAAGAGGAAGAGAGTGGTGATTTTTGAAATTTGTTGCTGGTTGCAGCTATTTTGATTCACAGGTGGTTTCCTGGTTCTAGAAATTTGAAGAAATCAGTACACCTGTGTCTTCAAGGAGTAGCTTTGGCTTGTGGGGTGTTTGGGATTTGGACGAAGTTTCATGGGGAGAATGGGATTGTAGCTAACTTCTACAGCCTGCATTCTTGGATGGGATTGATCTGTATTTGCCTCTTTGGAGCTCAGGTAATTTATAATTTAACTTTGTCTCTTTATATATAACCATGTTTTCAGAAAATTCATGCATAACCACATTTATGGTTAAACGTTTATTTTCTACTTGAAGAAGGAAAAAAGAGTAAAGGCCTTTGATGTATCATTTAGTCTCATAATTCTATCTGTTCTTTCTCTTCGTTGCTGGGAGATTTTTCTGTGAGGAAATGGTAATGATTTACAGGCCATTGTGGTCCACCTGTGGCCTTTAGCATAACTTGGGAAGCAACACAATGAATTATTGGTAGCGTAGTCAATATATATTATTATCACGTATGTATAATATAATATAGATATAGATGATAAATGTAAGTTCTGCTCAACAATAGTTTTTGAGGAAACATATGCTAAAGAAAACAAACGGGCCAGGAATCTGGATACCCATTTCATCCGGTGCACTTGAGCGAACAAGCTCATGTATTTTAGATTACTTCTTAATCAAACAAAATAGTTTATGGCAAATTATCACTTTAGTTTTCAAATTTTACTTTTGTTATAGTTTTGATCTTTAACGTTTCTTATTACATTTTACTTCCTAATATTTTTTGTTTGTTCTGAACATGTAGTTTTTTTTTTTTTTTTTTTGAATAGATAAAATTAAAATAGTTTAGATCATATTTGAATGTGTTAAAAAATTAAAAAATAAATTTTAATTAATTAATTAAATTAATAAATAATCAACCAAAATCAAATTTTTAAGTACCTAAATCTAATTTAATTATTTCAAGCTTATTTTTTTTTGTTAAAAACAAAAAAAAAAATGAATTGTTGAAATAAATAAAAAGATTTTATGAAATAAATTGTGATAAAAAAGTTAGCAATCAAACTGTAAGATTATTTTGATAATTTATCCAAAACTTTTATCGTAATTTTTTTTTCGACATAATTTCGAGGATTGAGTTGGGTTTTAATCCCAAAAGATTCCCTTGATTTTGAACTGAAAGTGGAAAAAAATTTCATTTAAAACCCTTACTAACATATGAAATCATCAACTTTTGAAGTAAATATTACTGATAGAGATGTTCAAATTATGAGAATGCAGTGGATGATGGGATTCATGAGCTTTTGGCACAGAGGAGAGGCACGGGCATCAAGGGTGAGAGTGTTGCCATGGCACATATTCCTCGGTCTATATGCATACGGGTTAGCCGTGGCCACGGCAGAGACAGGGCTCTTGGAGAAGCTGACCTTGTTGCAAGCAAATAGGAATTTGCCTAAACATTGCCCTGAGTCCATGGTTGTTAATGGTCTAGGCCTGGGCTTGGCTGTGCTCGGTGGTATTGTAATATTAGCGGCTGCTTCCCCTAAAGGTCACTCTTTTCAAACCAAACTCATTTACGCATCCTCCCATGCCAATCCCTTATCTTCTTCATGAATCTTTACCCGTATTATTTAATTTTCTGTACATAAATTACCATTCCTCATCACTGTACCAGAGGTATTGTTTCTGTTTTCTGTTTTTTTTTTTTTTTTTTTTTTTGAGGATCAAGAAATAAAATCTTCATGGGTTTTCTTTTCCTTTTTTACTTTGAGCTACAAGATTTTTTTTTTTTTTTTTTATTTTATAAACTGAGACTTATTTGAGGCGCATATACTACTTATTTTGTAAGTTGATATGGACGGGACAAGGTATCTTTAAATTACCTTTGATAATATGATAATGACTCCCTTAAATCACAATCAGTTGCTAATTTCTTTTCTCCAGGATATATCTATTAGGATATAGTATAAAGTACATATAGGTAATGAAGAGAATAATCTTCATTCTGATATAATTACAGTCAGTTTATTTTTGGAATGTATGTCTTTTCATTCTCATTTTGTTGAAGTGCACATTTGGAGTTTATTCTTGTTATTATCTTGATTTTTACCTAAAGATGAAGTCTCATATACTGTAGCATTAACAAATGAATACAGAAACACCTGGATAATGAATTTTACTGAACTATCGTTTATATGTAATTAGAGCAGCCTAGTAACTTTTCAAGAGTTCCTACGTAGAAACTTCCTCCTACTTTATCTTCACCTCATCTCTCTTCTGCATGACTTCTAAATATTCATACTTTTCCATTGTTGTTTTGAACATGAAAATCATGTTAGTGAAACTCTTAACTGCACCAACTGTAACGATCCCGAAAATTTAAGTGAAGATGTATGTATTAAAAATCTTAAATGCGGAACCGAAATAAAAATTCTGATTAACATCCCTTACACAATAATAAAAAACGTATCCAACATATGAAAGAATAAACTAATTAAAAGAAATACTCGAAATAAAAACTATAAATAGAACTATAAAGTCTCTAAACGTTTAACTCACCGTCTTCCTGCGGAACGGGCTCGGAAATCACGTCTTTCTGATCTGAAATGGTTAAGTAAAGAATAAGTTACACTAACTCAGTAAAGACATCACACTATCTCCCGGAAAGGAGGAGGAAAAAAAAAAAAAAAAAAAAAAAAAAAAAAAAAAAAAAAAAAAAAAAAAAAAAAAAAAAAAAGGGGGGGGGGGGCCACGTCAGCAGCCACGTCAGCAGGCCCGGTCAGCAGTCCCGGCCAACCGGGGCCTGCCACGTGGCAAGATCGCGTCACTCCAAAAGGAGCCACGTTGGCGATCCGCGTGGGTGCGATCCGACGGCCCAGATCAATCGCGCGATCGGACGGTCCAGATTCAAACGCACGGACGGCCCAGATTCAATCAAAAACGAACGGCCCAGATAAAACAAAATGAACGCCTGTGATCAAAAGGCAAGGGGTTATAAATAGAACCCCCACACCAGACCACAAACCCTAGCCGCCAGCCGCTCGCCGGAGAAGACGAACCAGAGGCCGACCGCCGCCACCCGCCGCCCGCTCGCCGCCGCACCGGGGAAATTTCCGACCGCCGATCGAGGTAAATTTCATACCCCCGACTCGTTTTTCCCCACTGATTCCTCCTATGGCCAAATCGAAACCGAAATCCCGGCCAAACGGCCGGAATACGCGGCCGAAGCCCAGCGGCGCCGCCGCGCCCCCTCTCGGTTTTTGCCTCCGACGAGGCCCTTCCCGGCCTCCGTTCGATGCAATTTTTATATCACCGTGATCACCATTCTTTTCTCTACAGGTTGACCGGAGCCGAATCACCAAAACACGAACCTCGCCGGAGAGCCGCTGCACCCGAGAGCGCCGCCGCCGGTAAGCTCCGTTTTTCCGTGATTTTTTGGCCCCCCGAGGGCCCTAAGGTTCTTTTCTGACAAGGACCAATGCGAGTGTGGCCGAATTCGGCCGAAAACGGCCGAAAACAGCCAACCCGAGGCGACTCGCCGCCGCCAGCGGCGGCGCCGTCGCCGGAGCACGGCGGAGCCGCCGTGCCGGAGTTGCGATTTGGGCCGAAAGAGGCCCTGGGCCTAATTTGGAATTTTTTTGGAACACGTGCAGGTACTGTTAGTGTGTTTCAGTTCCCCGAGAAAAATTCAGGGAAAATTAGGGACAGCCTGCAGGCGCACTGTGAATCGTATTCGGATCTCGAAAACAAGTAAGGACCCCTCACCTTATTTCCTATCACGGTATTAAAGTTCAAAATGATAAAACGGTATTTCTTGAATTAATGCATGTGTGAAATTGCTTAAGGTAGCTAATGGAGCCCGAGTCTAGTGTGATTGGTGGTTTACTGTTATTTGGCCTGTTTACAGCTTTAAATGCAGAATGAGGTTTGATGTGTTCATTTTACAGATTTGTGTGCATGTACTACGTTTTTATTAATTATGGGTTGAATGACTGAAAAAACTGATACTGTATGTTGTCTGTTTGGTATGAATTACGATTTGCTTGTTTAAATGTGAATTGATGATGCTGATTGAGGAAAAGGAAAATGAAAGATTGTATAGACTGATAATTGTATTATGGGGGTCAGCCTGACTAGATATCCTGGGAGATGGTGGACGGACCGGGTCCGTAGGGAACCCTACCGGGATTGTGGTCTCACATGCCGGACGGGGTATGGAGATCTTATGGTTTTGGCGCCCATACCGGACGGGGTATGGGGACGGCCCGTTTCACCCTCATACCGGACGGGGTATTGAGGTTTATGGTTTTGGCGCCCATACCGGACGGGGTATGGGGACGGCCCGTTTCACCCTCATACCGGACGGGGTATTGAGGTTCATGGTTTTGGCGCCCATACCGGACGGGGTATGGGGACGGCCCTGGAAACTGATTATGAATGTTAAAGGTTAACGGGTAGCGGAACCCCTATGGACCCCCACGGATACTAGTAGGCTGGTAAATGAGAAAAAGGGAGATGTTGTACAATGATTGAATTACAAGAGGCGTGATAAGTGTTATGTTTTACAGCTTAGATTATTCAATGATTATGATGATGTTATTGTTTTTCTCATATTGTTTTCATAAATTCCACCAAGGTAAGTGGATGGTAAAGGTTTTCATGTTAACAAACGAGTTTATGGTAAATTGTGCTCCATTGGTCTTTTTGTGTTTTTCTACCCACCTTTACCTCCGTGACGGTGAGATATCGTGATGTTCTTGCTGGGCTAGTGTAGCTCACTCCTTATTTAACCATTTCAGATCAGGAAGACATGGTTCCCGAGCCCGTTCCGCAGGAGGACGACGAAGGGGATACCTAGAGACTCTGTAGTCATACTCATAGTCTTATTTTCGAGTTCCTCTCTTAGTTAGTTTAATCTTTTATATTTTAAGTACGTTTTTGGTTTTTCGTGTAAGGGATGTTAACTAAAATTTTGATCTCGCTTCCGCATTCGATATATTTAAATACTCATTTCTTTTTAATATTTTCCGGGGCCGTTACAGTTGGTATCAGAGCCAGGTTTCCTCGGACCCATCCCTTATCTTATTCTCTGTTATGGAATTGAAGTTTAATTAATAATAATACGATATTTTGTATAAATTAAAAAATATTCATAATTAATTACATGTTACTAATGGAGTTGAAACTAGTTACTTATTACTGTTTACTATGTTTAACTGATTGCTTGATTTTACAGTTTGAATGCATAATAATATCTGATTTATCGATTTTATGGTATAAATGCATGTATAGCAGCCTTACGTGACTACTATTAAATTGGAAAACCAAGGTATGATTGCATTCCCTAATG